TCTCTCCATTTATCCCTTGGTCCATCAATTCCACCCTGACGAATCATTCCATCCATTCATCACTTCAATTTTCAGTTCCTGAGTAAAGTTGTTTTTATTAGGTACCAAAGCAAAAGTATAAAATATCAGTGAAGACCAACAGAGTATTTGATATTACAGAACGCAAGGTATGGCTCACCATTCTTAGGCTTTACATGTACATGTACAATAACGAAATGCTCTCTGACTTTATTTGTTTCCTTTAGAACTATTGTAGTAACTTTTGCTATAAAGCTTCCAAATACTTTGAATCACAAATCCCAACTTCTCCTGTGTGGACAAGAATAGGAGAAAGGTAAGTGATGCTTTGAGTATTTTATCAGAAAAATTACAACAGATTCATCATTATCCATAGCAATCTTGGTGTGTTGCATCATACAGATCTTTCTGAAGCACAAGAAAAGTGCTGTTTGCAGCTATTTCAAAAAAAGCTAAAAAAAGAAGGATATCAAAGTTTTGTTGCATGTCGCATACCAAGCCCAAATTGCACTATGGGTGATGAGAATAACATCAGCGACAGGTCACAACAATTTGGAGTTTCCAAATACTTTATCTGCACATTTTTCCCATATAATTTCTGCTGATATTTTCAACATATTATAAATATCATAATACATTTCAAGCTTAAGCAATATGCAACACACAACATGCAGCATATATAACATGTGACATGTAGCAAAACCTTTACCATCCTTTTTTGAAATAGCAGAAYAACTTAAAGATGCTAGGGGGTACTTAGATACATTGTCATAATTTGGAGGTGGGCATCATGTTAAGTTAGTGTGAAATTTCCTACCAAATACACGTCCATTACTTAATATTTATGCCATTAAATAATATTTAGGTACACAAGGCTTTCTTTTATCCTCATATGAAATTCAGRGTTTCTCTTGCACATTTTTGTGCCAAAAGTAATCATGACCAGCRACTGACTGGCTGCTACTTTATGCCCTGATTAATAGACTAATGTTTAAGAAATAATAACATTTCTTCCAATTCTATTTTTTCCTTTTCTTTATGTACCATCAGCCCAAAGGAACTCACTTTGCTCAAAGCAACAGATTTGTCTTTCAAGTAAGTTACTTTAAAAGTGGTTTTCAGGAGTATGGATAGAAAATAAAGCCTAGTAATATCCCCTCCCCCCCCCCCCCCCCCCCCCCATAAGAAAACAAAGTACAGGTTTAAGTGATCTTGCAAACCTTTCAATATTGTGTTCTGATTGAATAAATCTCTAAAGTTATTTATTAAGTGCCTAGTTATTCTAACTCTTTTGCACTCATTGGGGACACTTTTCACTGACACACACTACCACTGCATTCATTGTTTTATGCACATAAGGGTCAACTCACATGTTGATTTTTATGGAGGTAGGAARCTAAAGAACCYGTAGAAAACCTCCGAAGCSTAGGGGAGAACCACAAAAAACTCAATTCACATKGTGTCCACAGGGCTCGAACCTGTGACCCGAACCTTTGRGACCACAGTGTTGAAAGAGTCCATGTGTAAACAGTGTGTACTACCCATGCTTCCCATTGAAGAAACCCACYTCTCTCAAATGAATTACCATTGCGTGCATGCAAACACTTTAGTAGATTGAAATCAAACTGTGGTTTTTAGAAAATCATGAGAAATCTTCAGAATTTAATTTTCTAAGAATTATTTGAACTTTTTGTCAGACCAAGTCCTGGAGAGTTAATGGTTGGCAGTGAAAAGTTAGGACACCATAACCTARGGTACAGTATTTGGGTGTTGGTGGGTGTGGTTTTGGTGTCTGCGAGTGAGTGCTTTTAGGAGTGGTATTCCTATARATCTAAAAAGGGGCTTCCAGGTTTAAGGTATCAGGAGGGGATTGGGACCCCTATACGCACTACSTCAAATTTTGCATGGACTTTACAATATTTTGCCATAAAGGTAAAAGTATAGTTTTTGAAAATATATTCAGAATTGCCTGTTTTGGAACACCAAAAGGCTACAGTATTTTAGACTAACAAACCTTTTTATTAAAGTTTATCAAGATGGTGGCCGTGTAAAGCATAATATCTTTATTGACCTTGTGCTATTGATTAGTTTATTTATTGTCTAACATGTGTTTTTTCCTAGAAATGAAAACGAACCAAACGTAGAGAAAACATGTAATGCTGATAGCAGTAAGACAAGTAGTGTTGAAAATAGCCTTCATGACACATTCAGTAATGCTCATCTTGATGATGAGAGTGATGTTGCTAACCACAGCATGGCACATTCATCAAAGAAGACAATAGACAAGGAAGATGAAGTCACCAGTAAACTGAATGAACTAGCTATGTCAACCACTTGCAAGTCTATGAAGAACAACAAAATAGCTAAYGAAGAACATAAAGAAGACACAGACTGGCCTAACAAGTTTAGTTTTCCATCTCATAGTGAGAAGAATGAGGAAAAAGCTTTTGATAAAAATGAGAAAGAATCCTTACAGAAAATACGACAAGAGAAACATATTTTAAGGACAGAAGAAAGTGGAAGAAATGCAAAAGAAATATTCCTGAACACTATAAAAGATATACTAATACAGTGGTTCACAGATTCTACGTATAGATATTTAAACGTGGTGTCATCCAGTTCTGGGAATGTTGATACTTTGGAAGATGTTAGTGGTACCAAACCAGGTGGGTGATGAATACTCTACTCTATACCGTACCATAGACCTTTTCTGAGATAAGGATTTTGATGCATTGTGGTCTAGCTTGGGTACAAATATATTTTGTTCCTCATGCCTTATATGAGTGTTGTTTGTACCGAAGCTAGACCGCAATGCATCCTATTTATCGAACTCAGAAAAGCCAATCCAAATGCAGGAAAGCTGTTGTATATTTGTTGGTATAGACCCCCTTGCATGTGACGTCAAAGCAGCTCAATTTGGAGGACAAAAYGAAAGAATTTTAATCTTCTGAGAATTGGAAACCTATTGTTATTTCCTTCAAAACGTGGTGCATTTCCAATGTGCTGCAAGGGGTCTATTTCACTAATBCTTCCATCATAGGCCTTTTCTGAGTTTGATAAACAGGATGCATTGTGTTCTAGCTTGGGAACAAAAAACAACATATRCATTAAGGCATGATGAACAAAAGATTTCATACCCAAACTGGACCACAATGCACTATTTTYGRTATCTCAGAAAAGTYTATGGGCTGCGCTCTCAGTTACTTTTTGTGGTATGGTATAAAATAGTTACACCATGCTTTCTTGTGGCACACCCTGGAATATCCCACTTGTCACTTGTCAATTTTCTTTGTATACACACYGGTCTAAAGGCTTGTGTGTGCAAGAAAATGTGAGTGACGCATGGGATATTCCATGTATACTATTCAAAAGCATGGTATAACTATATAAAAACGACACTTTTTGAAATTGTGAGGAGATGGAGAGTTTAAAATATYTTTATTGGCAGCATTTGCAACCAGTCCATAAACAGAGTTTTATAATAGAATTATACAAGTTATACTAAGACTACTACAGTACAGTTACAAGTTTTTTTTTTCCTGTTGCAGATGTACTAGAACAGAATGAAGCACAAAATTGTAGTGATAAAACGTTAAGGTTTCAAAAAACTGATAAAAAGCCAGGTGATGTTGATGATGACAGTGATGGTGCTGGTGATGCTGATGACAAGAATCAAACAGAAAAGCATTTAAAACTAAATCCGGAGAATATGAGAATTATTGAAAGAAATACAGATACAGAAGAGGTTTGTAGGCATCGTTGAAACCATTTGTTTTCTGCTCTGCTCTGCTCTGCTCTGCTCTGCTCTGAATGATAAATGTACTGTTTTTTTCTAGGGCTTCCCCTGTGTTGTCCCACCGATTGACTCCAAGTCACAGCTAAGAATAAGGAGACAAATAGTGCTTCAAAAATTAGCACAAGTGTGAGTACATCTGCAAGTTTTTATAATGTCTTTCTTTTCTCAAAGGTTTGGATTGACTGCCTACCTGTATCTGTCCCTCAAGACTGTAAAAGAGATTGTCTTTCTGGTGCTTGCCATCCTAAGTGACTGACTGACTTGCGTGTTTGTCAAATTGTCTGTCATTCTTAACTGTCTGGCTTTCTTGCTTGTCAGACATTGTTGGATCGACTGTCTTCAGTTCTCGACTTTCCTCAAAATCTTTTGTTTCCAAAATGTCTACCCCAATCTTTGATACGTTCTCGACTGTCCTTAAATCTTTTTATTCTCGGATTGTCTCATATTGGTTTTCACCCTGTTTATTTCCTTTTCTGATTGCCTTGTTTTTATCAGATTGTCTGGTCTTGACTGGCCTTCTTCAGGTCTTTCTGTCTATCTGTCAGCCTATCTACTTTTCTGTCTGTCCAAATAGGTGCCTAAAGCCCTGGCTAAACGAGGAAACATGTTTCCAGAAAATATTTCCCTAAATGTTTCCTAAGGTGGCAAAACTGTCAGGAAACATCGGGAAACAATGTTTCCATGCGTCTTGGAAACATGAAATGTTACTGCCGCACAGCAAAAACATTTTTTGCGTCTTGGAAGCAAAATTTGTTGCACGCAGCAAGTTTCGCATGTGGCTAAACTGGGAAACATCGAGGAAACATGCGCGCGGTAAACATGATTCTGGAAACATGTTTCCTCGTTTAGCCAGGGCCTAACGTTTCTCCTTTTTTTGAAACACAGACTTGTCTTTCTGTCTGTCTTCAGATCTGTCTGTCTACCTTTTTGTCTGTCCTAATAGGTGCCTAACCTTCTCTCTTTTTCGACACAGGCTTCCCGAGGTAATAGTTACAACTCCATACAACAAGAGTGAACTGGTAACGCACTTCACAGCCCTAGTAAGAACGTTCAGGTAAGACAACTTTTTCTCTATTCCTGTTCTAGCAACATTAGTTATATATTCATCTTGGAATTCTTTTTTAACCTTCACAACCCCTGGACGAAACGTTGGTATTTCGGCTCCAGCCAATCATCAGTTTAGTAACTTGGTGTTAGTGTTAACTTTGATGAACGAAAAAAACTATCGCGTTTGGAGTTGGCTGGCAGAAACGTTGAAAACGCCCGTACTAAAACAATGTGCTTTTTTAGTTTGGAGAGCCGAAACACGATGTTTAAGCCACTCCAATGGAAGGTTCTAGCGACAACCCTGATTCACTTGTAAGTATCTTATGTCATAGTCTTAAAGCTATGTCATCCTTGATGCTGTAACTCTGCGTCCTAATAACACTTCCTCTTAGTTCTAGCATTCAAAACTTTTAACACATTTTTAGGCTTGAAAAGCATCGTGGTTTGAAAGGAGATCATTTCTCGAGCGATAACAGGAAGAAAATGTTGGTAAATTTAGGTTTAACGATTGAAGACATGAACAATATCATGGACTCGATATCAATGACTGTCCAAAACAATACAACGTTCGGGGTACCAAGCGAAGACACGGAGACCAGACAAGAACACTCGACAATGTACAGTCGTATGGAAGACCTCGATTGATAAGCGATCGAAAAAACGAATATCACACGCAGGAAAAGCTACATTTTTAAATTTAACTTTGCATAAAAAAAGATTGAAAAAAAGAAGTGTGTTGCTTATCAAACATGCCATTTGCCTTCGAGTAGAAGATCCTTCGAGTTGGTTACTGAACTGTGCCAGAGATTTTATTAAAAACTAAGGAAGAGTTTTCGATGGACTGCAAGTATGGTTGCATCTTTTTCAGTAGGTTTTCAGTAAAAGTTTAATATAAAARAGCTAAAAGCTGTAACTATAAACTTAAAAGCTTATTTTTCCAAAAACATTTGTATAGCTCGGCCATAAGTTTAAATAGCAATTCTTCGATATCTCAGTTGACTTTTTACATGTCTGAAACCTCGGCCTTCGGGGATGGCCAAAGATTCATAATCAGTTTCTGTTTTGTTCCTTTCATTCTCGGATGTCTTTGATTCATCTTCATGTTCAAATTCTTCATCGCTGTACTCCGCATCATCACACTCTTCATTACTGTACTCATCATGGTCGCACTTTTCATCGCTGTCTTCCTTATAATCGTACTCTACATCGATATCGTCGCTCTCTTTATCGCTATACTCCTCATCATCGCTCTCTTCATCGCTGTGTACTTCATGATCATTGCACTCTTCATCACTGTAGACCACATCATCACACTCTTCATCGCTGTATTCCACATCATCGCACTCATCCTCCTCCTCATCACCTTCGTTTTCCATGCTGTCTATCTCAGTGTCTGTGTCTTCATCTGAGGCTGCTACTTCCGCGAGGCTCTCATCAACATTATTTGCGAGCCTCTTGACGTATACGTCTGGAGTCACGTCTCTCATCAATACAGCGAGCCCCTTTCTTTCTTCTTTGAGTGCTACGTATCTGCAGAACAAAGAAAATCAGCTGTGGTCAAAAATGTACCTGTTTTCGGTTCTTTAGGAGATACATTTCGCTGGAACTCCAGGATACAGCACACGGGTCGAGTTAGTATTGCAACGCATTGTGGGGCTTTTTAGGGTACATATTTCCAAGATGGCGTCTATTTTATCCCCTAAAACAGTCCCACAATGCACTGCAATGCCAACTTGACCCGCTTTTTCTTCAGCCTCAGAATGGTTAATACGGCAAATGCAGTCTCGTACCCGAAGAGGGGAGAAACAATCCCGACGAGCTCCGGGTGAAGGATTGATAGGAATGATAACAAAGTATAGAACAATAATGTGCAAGAATGAGATGAGTAAAACTTTAACCTTTTTGCGAGACACGATCTAATGAAGATTTGATTTCAATTTAGAGCCAGCTCCTGTAGAGTGCGTAGTTAACACCCATTTTTATCAGTGCTCCGTTCTTACGGTAAAATAACTTTTCACTGAAACGACAGCCATCTTTAATTATGGGATGCCCAGGGACCAAACATAGAAATATTTGTATTAAAGCGTAGAATAGCGAAGTTACTTTTTCAAATGATTTTACGCTTTAGTGTTTTACATATCGCTCCAACTACGAGCAAATTCAAATGGTTTTGCAGATGTGTTTCACTTTGGATAAAGTTGTCAACTTTATATAAACAATAATAGACACAATGACAGCTGTGCTGTCTATAACGTTTCCAGTATTTGCTGCCTCGGCATTCTATAATATCTCACTTAAAACAAGAGAATTCAAGATGACCGCCGTATCAGTAAAATGATCCGCCCGTGTTAGCTTCCATTTAGAGATAAGTTGAAAACAGGTAAAAGATGYCATAGTAGGTTCAGCTAGATCAAGAAGTGTTAGCACCATCAATAGAGTCAGCCTTCTTTCCTGTAAACGGCAAGTATTTWATACTAATATTGCAAACATACTTACTTTACAATTCTGGACAATACAAAGGTACAATAACCAAAACCAAATACGACTGCGTATAGAATTGCTATACTTTTAAGTCCTTTCAGAATTATCCAAGAAAACCCTGCAAAATAGAAAAAAGGTTGTCAGTGCTTTCTTATGTAGGCGGCTTGCTGCTTTTCGATGCAACTGTTACTGTCGAATTTGTGATTGTCATTCTATCATTCCTTGCCAGAAATTGCCCTATTTCACTATGACGTCACTGCTTATTTTTTATGTGGGGGATACAATCGCCAAATCCAATAGAAAATTCAACAAAATTTGCTCCTAGCGAAACAGTTTAATCTAAAATGGTTTTCAGATATAATATGTGTTAATATGTAACAAAAAATATTCTGAGCGTTTGCTGGCTATTCTACTTCTCTTCGTGGATTGATACGGGTTTTAGAACAATTTTCGGTGAATTTGCGTTGATTTAACCCCCTTCGACGACCATGATCCTTTGTGTTTAAACAATAGATTGTTTTGATGTAACGTCATAGTGAGATAAGGCGATTGATAAGAAGGTCATCAGTTTCTTTCCATACAGAAATATTTTTACCAAATTTGATATGGATGGAGAAGACTTTGTATTTTTGACGTTTAGTAGGGAAACGGTACGATATAGACCTCGGCTCGGGCGTAATGGGTTCCCATTTCAGACCACGTTTTATTCCCTAGAGTATCATTCCTTTGTTTAACGCTTGCGCTCGGTTGCATATGAGAAGGTACATAAATATTGTTACAACTCAATAGTTTTGTCACAGTACTTAATCAAGGCTTAAGTTGAGAACACATTGTGCGATTTTGCATGCGAAAAGCAGATGTAGAAGTAATTTCTACTTACGGAAAAAAATTCAACCTTTTTTATGTTTTCACCTAAAGATTGTTTAGCTTCTGGTCGCAGATGTCCAAAACTTAAAAGCCGTGGAACTTACATGCTTCGAATGTAGATTGATCTAGGCCTAATCCTCCTGCTATGATTGGCAAACCAAACGTTAGTAGGCAAAACTTCAGATTTTGTTCAAATTCTTCTTCATTAATATCAAACTCTTCTTCCATGATTTTCCGACAACCACGACTGTTTTATAGTTTACTCAAGCAGTTGATTCATTAGCAATGACGTCAAATCAGAATGATTGTGACGCGTACTAGCTATTCGCGCACGCGCGGGGACGCTAAGTAATAAATATAAGGGTCTCTATTTGCGCACGTTCGACCAAATGCAGTCTCGTTTCCAGAGCCTGCATTTCTCTTGGTCAGGAACGACGAAGAGAAACACAGACACTGGGAACGAGTTTTGACCGCCTAATGCATTTTGTCGAGCATGTGTAGTGAATGTTTTTTTTAGTAGAATGACAGGACTCCTGGGGTGAAGATTTTCGATAGAATTGACTTAAACGATTTATTTCATGCAACAGGAGAATTTAACATTTAAGAACTCTTTCATTTCAGTTCTACGTTCAGGCATCCCAGACCTCCTATATATCCTATATTTCCTATAATTTGTATAGGATCCTATAAAGAGCCTATATTTAAAGAAAACCTCCTATATTTCCTATAAATAAGACAACTGCTGAGTTATTCATTTATATTTTACACTGTTTAGCATATTTGGCGAAGGAAATGAAATGGCCCCTTTTTTTTTTTTGGTTCTGTTTTTTTTTAATGGCTTTTTAGTTCTGCAAATCATTGCTGTGCACGCTCCCGTGTGATTAATACCGTCTGAATAGAGGCTTTGCAGCATCACGTGCCAGCGCCCATTATATATAGCTTGTGTGATTGTTTTGCTCTCGGGAATAGCGCAGCGCAGTCGTGACGTCATAAAAACGAACACAAAGGCGAAATTCGGACAAACAAGCTTACAAGTTTACTTTCAGCAGATAATTTTCACAGCCGATCGCAGTTGATCTTAGTTTACATGGAATTAAACAGAATGCAATGTTTGTCCGAATCTTTAAGCTATTTTTAGAATCGGTGCGCTGCGCTATTGAATTCTTTATTATGTAAAACGATTGTATTGTTCCTGCCATCTAACATGGCTGCCGTCACGTGATGGTACAATGCCTCTATAAGTGTAAGAAAAGCAAATGCACGGCACCGATGTTGGATTCCTTAATTAACTTGAATGTGTCTGTGCTTCAACATTCGTGCTTTATCCTTATCATTTCCGTCTTCCGTAAATCATACCGATACTCGGCGAGAGTGGATTACACTAGCGAATAAAAATAAGCCTAAAACTGGACAAAATTGGCGAAGAGTCGTGTTCACCAATAAAAAGCAAAAAACGATCATGAAACGTCTTGAAAGCAATTTTAAAATGACTGTAATAAATGTCGCATTCTGATTGGTTGAGAGTGCGTGCTTTATGAGAGCACACAGCAAGCGCGCTCCCTTTGCATTTTATAAAAGAAATAAAAAAACGTGCTGTGCTGTATGGAGTTATAAAGCACTTGGGCATTGGCAGAACACTTGAGAAGTGTCGAGAAGCACTCCGCTTCTAAAACTTCTCTCGTGTTCTGCCAATCCCCGCAGGCTATCTTCAATCCTCCGTTCTCACGACCATCAGCCGGGCAACGGATTATGATCGTCGTTACAAACGCCTTCACGTACCCTCCCCTCGATTGTTATTGGTCGGTGAAACGATAGCGRYGGCGYGTGTTGACCTGAGGGGGAGGGTACGGCGAGGCGTTTGTAACGATGGATTGCCTTGTAACGCATGTAAAAGGAGTGCCAGTAACACAGTATTCTAACGGCTGATTGCCTTGTAACAAATGTAAGGAGTGCCAGTAACACAATATCCTAACGGCGGATTGCCGTGTAACGCATGCAAGGAGTGCCAGTAACACAGTATTCTAATGGCGGTTCGCCTTGTAACGCATGTCAGGAGTACCATCCTTTTTCATCGGTCCACTCGAAGTAGAAACATTTGAGYWTCCTGAGTAACCACTTGAATACGACGAAGTAGACCAACCGGAACTCCTACTACTTAACGAGCCAAAGCTTGAACTACTTGAGCTTTTATTGCTTCTGTACCTCATATCAGGGGTGCCATCTTTCTTCAATGGACCACTTGCAACAGAAGAGCCATAGCTTCCAGACGAACTACTCGACATAGACATAGTAGATCCGCCGATGCTGGAGCATCCTGAGCTGACACTTGAGGCATTTGAACTCTTGTTGCCACTGTACCTCATATCTGGAGTGCCGTCTTTTTTCAATGGACCACATGAAACGTTTACCCCTCCACTTGATGAACCACGGACACTTACATCAGGCGAGTTTCTGTTGGCACGGCACCTCATATCAGGAGTTCCATCTTTCTTCAGTGGTCCTGATGAGGCGTAGGCAGAAATTCCCTTGTTTGCAGCAAACCGCATGTCTGGGGCTCCATTCTTCTTCACTGGACCCGGTGCCACCTTGCTTATTGTGTCACTGGGATGTTTATTAACAGCAAATCGCTTGTCAGGAGTACCATCCTTCTTCAACGGTCCAGAAGCTATAGCTGCAGCCTTTTTGTTCTCTGAGTAACGCATATCCAGACTGCCATCCTTCTTCCTTGGACCTTTTGTACACGCGTCGTGTTCTGTAGTCAGATATTCAATATCTACCTTCTGTTTGTTGGCGGAATAGCGCATATCTGGTTGGCCATCTTTTCTAGTTGGTCCATTACACAGAACTCCTTTCGTAGGAAAGCGATTTGCTTTAAATCTCATGTCTGGTTTTCCATCCTTTCTTGTCGGTCCTTGAGGCAACAGCTTCAGTTTGGCAAGCGCATCTTGGCCATTTTCTTTGACTGCTTTCATCGTTTTGTTGACTTTAAATCTCATGTCTGGTTTTCCATCTTTTCTGCATGGTGCATTARCATTTTCCAACTCCTTCACTGCTTTAAATCTTCTATCGGGTTGCCCATCTTTCCTTCTTGGCAAATCCTCCGTTGGATACTCTAGTTTTCTGGCTGCAGAATGTTGACTCTTGTTTTCCCTGAGTCTTTTGTCGGGCGTCCCATCCAGGTTTTTCCCTTCTTCAAGGAAAGAGTTTCTGTTTTTTCTCAGCCTCATATCTGGCTTTCTTGGAAGACCTTGTGTAGTTGTTTCTWGTAAGGTTCTTCCATCGTCATCGTACGACTGGTCAAAGCATTCGGGTAGCGACGCTGCATCAAACGGAATGGATTCAGGAACTGGGTTGAAATCCGGTGTACACTCGGGTGGATGTGGAATGCTAAAGATCGGTTCGTAGTTTGCTGGGGCACACTGTTTAGAACTAAAATCGGGTAAAAAATACTCAGCTCCTTCGCTGAATTGAACGTCTCCCTCTGTAATTATATAAAGAAATAGGAAAAAAACATTTAGTACGTCAGCTAAACACCTTTAGTTATTTTTGCGGTAAGTTTGAATGCTCTACCTAAACGCCTATGCATCATTATAAAATAATTGCTTTAAATCTCGCGCTATGATTGSTTGGGAGCGCGTACTTTATGAGAGCACACAGCACGCGCGCGCACTTTCAGTTTCGTCATTCATATAATTCGTATTTTACAAAAGAAATAAAAAACTTGCTTGCTGTGCTCTGTTGAGTTATAAAGCACTTGCGATTGAGTTATAAGACACTTCTCTCGTGTTCTGCCAACCCCCGCGTGCTTTAAACCGTACACAGCACACGTGAGCGTTTTCTATTTATTAGTACTGATAATAAACAATTTTAGCTTGGGCTAGCGTTTTCCCATTCAGAACAGTGTCATTGTCTTTTAAATAAGATTCTGGCTTTGTTTGGGTTTTATCCATATTCATGTATCTTTTCATATGCAATTTTTAAAAAGGAAATGATACTTCAGGGAATGACACATGGTCTGAAATGGAAAGAAATTAAGTCCAATTTGTCATGAGTTGAATTCTAATGCGTTACGTCTACCACTACTGGTTGGACGACTTAATGCCTAACAGGTTTTGCTACCCAATCGCTAAGGCAGCCGATAGATCGATTTAGATGATTTAGAAGTTGATTTTCGTGGAGGGAGGGAATAGCGAAGAACCCGGTGGAAATTGACATTACTTTATTTACCTGTTGCATCAAAGCCAAACTTACCAGGATAATCCTGTTCAAGTAAATCTCTCAATGCTTTCTTTATCACCTCAACACAATAGGGGTTCGTTTTCACCAAGTCATGTTCCTTGATGGTATGGAGGAATCCAACCGACATGTGCTCCAGGCGAACAGACTGAAGAAGGTTTGGCAGCTCCACGCCACGTGTTTCTGGGTCACATTCTACCCATTTCATGACAGCATAGAAGACGTCTTCCTCTGAACCCACGCTAAGATCGTCATCAACAATCAAGTCTAGCAACTCTGCCAAAGACATCTCCGAATAATCCTCGCTGTTTTGAACATCRAGGAAATCCTTCAAGGCAAGTGATCTTGCAGACTGATAAAGATCTTCTAATGCGTCGTACAGGGACACTGGTATGAAGCCATCTTCGCTTCCTACGCCTGAACTTTGATCTTGAACATTTACTTGCCAAGCCTTCGCAATGCTCATTAAGCTCAAGACGTTGTCAGGTGACAAGGCATCTTTCAGCCAGCAACAACACGCCTGTCCCATGCCAGGCAGGTTAAACTCTACTGCCATTTCTAGTAATTGTTGTACCGTACCAGGCCAGACCATCAGGCTAGCTGTATAGAGGTACCTCAGGAAAGCAGGTATGGCTTGAAAAGTAGCATCATTTACTTGCAGGTTTTCATGAGAGTCTCCACATGCTAGCTCACTGGTAGCTGCAGCCAGGATGGCGCAATGGCATGGAATCTTAGCCAAGGGGTCAGAACTTGTTACAGCAGTTGAACAAATATTGCTGCCTTTAAGAAGCACATACAAAGCGTTTAGTATGAATTCAGGGAGATCTTTGAATTTGAGCTCAACACCATCGCAGTCATCATTGAAATTTTCCTCTTCTTGCACTTTGCATTCTCTCTTTAAGCTGTCGATACCATAATGTTCTGCYAGCTCCTTCACCTCGTTCATATTGGACGGAGTAATAGTTACGACTGATGTGTAAGCATAGTCCCACAGACACTGAATAGCTTCYGAGCTGAAATTTTCCTCCATGACAGTTTTGGAGATGAAAGAGGCTGCAGAGCCAAGACCTCGTTTCACAAGATTTTCCTCTAGGTTTTTACTCAAAGCAGCCAGGATAGGTCCATGGAAATAAAACTGCTCATTCTCTTTACTGGTGATGACCACATCTGTCAGACTTCCTTCGTCATTGTCTTGCATGACAATAAGGTTGTGAAGAAGAGTTTGAGCGTGTTGCTTCTTGTCGAAGAYGTATACAAGCTTGCCATCTTGTACTTCTGTTTCTGTGAAAGGGGCATTCAGTAAAACTTTGCTCATGGTTCCAGACATGATATCAAACCTGGAATAAATATGATGAGTTTCATGATCAATCAATGGAGTATTTGAATTCGAAAGCAATTTAATGAGATGCTGAACTACTAGAAGTTTATAAACACAAATGAAATTGAGGAAA